ACCCATCCTTCCACCCATCCATCCTCCCATCTACCCATCCTCCCATCCATCATCCCATCCATCCATCCTCCCATCCATCCATCTTCCTATCCATCCGTCCTCCCATCCATCCATCCTCCTATCCATCTGTCCTGCCAGTCATCCTTCCACCCATCTCCCATCTCTTCTTTCAACTTCACACTCCTATCCTTCCTCCAATCCTCTTTCCCCCCTCTCTTCTTTCCTTTCCTTCCATAGAGTATTCCTTGAGCTTCTCTTCTGGTCCAGACCTATTTATTCATAACAATGAACAGTCACAGTTCTCTCAGAGGGAGGCAGATAAGGAAGCTGCTTGGTCTCCCATTTCCTTTCTGTGGATGAAACCTCACCCAAAGTCACGACATATAAAGCCGGTAACCCCCAGATGCCCAGTGCCCCAAAGAGTCCAATTTGTAAACCACAGATCTAGTCAGACTCTCCCATTGTTTTGATTTTACAAATGGGCTCAGCAGTTGGGTGATGGGAGATGAGGTGGGCCGTCACACTCCAGTTGATGGTGCCGTCTGCATCAGAGCCCAGCCCCAGGGAGATGTCTGGGCCCCTGACACTCCTCTTCCAGCCATCTGACTCATAGTCACCCACCTTTCCTTGGCAGGAGGCGGAGAAGGCAAAGCCGGATGCCCTGCATGGCCTGCGGGTGCACTCCTGGGTCCTTGTGCTATCGGGGAAGCGCGAGGTGCCTGAGAACTTCTTCATTGACGCATTCACAGGACATAGCTATAGCACCCAGGACGAGCACTTCCTGGGCATCGAAAGCCTCTGGAACCACAAGAACTACTGGATCAATATGCAGGATTGCTGGAACTGCTGCAAGGTGCCTGGGGAAGGGGAGCTGGGTGGGCGTGGCAGGCACAATGCAGGTGACAGGAATAGAGGGAAGCGATGGCAGCCAGACCTTGGGGAGAGCGGGACACCAGGCCATGAGGGCTTTGAACCTTCTCCATAGCTGAGTCTCCATGACCCACTCCCTTGCCCATGAGTAACCATTCTGATACGATTATTGTCGCTCCTGATTTGTGTATCCTTCTAAAATGTGGATTGTTTGCATTTTTAAAAACCTCTATTTTGAAGTGTAACCTACATGCAGAAAAGTACACTCATCCCACGCATACATACAGTTCAACGAAATTCCACAAATTGAACACACCTTGGTTTCCTACACCCAGATCAAGAAATAGAACATTGGCCGAACCCCAGAAAGTCCCTTTGTACAATTACTATCTTCCCCCAATGTATTTTTAACTTATGTATGTGGTACTGGTACACACACGCACCTACAAGAGGATACAGAGGAGGTCACGATCCTAAATGTACATGTCATTGAATTATCACACACTGAACACACGTATGTAGCCAGGACCAGCATAAGCCCCCTCATGTCCCCTCCTGGCCACCAACTCCGCCATTGTCCCCAGAGTTAAGCACTACCTTGACTTCTAACAACACCCCATTAGTTTCATCTGTTTTTGGAGTTTACATCAGTTGAATCACATAGTGATTCAATACTCTTATGCCTGGATTCCTTCACTCATGGTTATGTTTATGAAATTCATTATGGTTTTTTGTGTGGTTTGTTCGTTTTCATTTTTTATTACTTTTCCATTATTTGAATACACCAGAACTTATTTGTCCTTTCTACAGTTGCACATTGAGACTGTGTCCAGTTTGGGACTATTTTGAATAGTGCCGCCATGAACATTTGTATATATGTATTTCAGTGAACACATATACACATTTCTGTTGGGTAACTACTGAGGGGTGGAATTGCTGGGTCACAGCATGGGCACGTGCTCAGTTTAGTAGATACTGCCCGATTTCTCAAGTGATTGCATCCATTTACACTCCCACCAGCAATGTATGAGGGTTCTCGGAGCTCCATCCACATCCTTGCCAATACTGGATACTTTCTTTTCCATTTTAGCTGTTGTAGTGGACATGTAATGATATTGCACTGTGGTTTTATTTAATGCAATTGATTTTTGGCTGGGAGCAGGGGCTCACACCTGTAATGCCAGCACTTTGTGATGCCGAGAAGGATAGATCACTTGAAGTCAGGAGTTCGAGACCAGCCTGGCCAACATGGTGAAACCCTGTCTCTACTAAAAATAAAAAAAATAGCCCAGTGTGGTGGTGGGCACCTGTAATCCCAGCTACTTGGGAGGCTGAGGCAGGAGAATTGCTTGAACCCGGGAGGCGGAGGTTGTAGTGAGCCTGTATCGCGCCACTGCACTCCAGCCTGGGAGACAGAGCGAGACTCTATCTCAAAAAAAAAAAAAAAAAAAAAAAAAAAACAATTGCTTTTTGCAAACTGTTCACATATCCAGTAAGTTTTAAACCTGCTTATTCATTTTAAAATTTAATCTGTAAAGACTTTGGGATTGTCTGCATACACAATCAGTCCTACAGCTGAATGACGGCCGTTTTCTTTCTTTGTTTTTAATCCTTACGCTTTTTCATTTCTTTTTCTTGTTTTATTTCTCTGGTTAGTATATCCAGTATAATGTCAAATTGAAGTGGGGATTCTGAATATCCTGTCTCAGTCCTGATTCACAAGTAAAGCCTTAGTATCATAACATTTCACTATTTTTATGATGTTTATCTTGACTATAGGGTTTTTATAGCTAGCTACCCTTTAACTAAGGTATTTCTTTCTGTTTGCTAGCAGTTTTTAATCAAACAAAATTTGTTTATATCAAATTTTTTTCATCTATTAAATGATCATAATTTTTTCTTCTATTAACTGATAAATTAGACTGTGTTCCCCCCCTTTGTTAAGTTGAGGTGTAATTGACATAACATAAATCCACTAAAGTGCACAAGTTAGTGGCTTTTGGTGTATTTACAAGACTGTGCAACTATCACCACTATCTAATTCCAGAATTTTTTCATCACCCCAAAAGAAGATTTTTATTTTTTGAGACAGGGTCTTCCTTTGTTGACCAGGCTGGAGTGCAGTGATGCGATCATGGCTCACTTCAACCTCAACCTCTGGGCTCAAGCAATTCTTCCACCTCAGCCTCCCGAGTAGGTGGGACTACAGGCATGTGCCACTATGCCCAGCTAATTTTTATATTTTTTATAGAGACAAAAAATGGGTTTTGCCATGTTGCCCAGGTTAGTCTCAAGCAATCCACCCATCTTGGCCTCCCAAAGTGCTGGGATCACACGTTTGAACCACCGTCCCATGCCCTGAAAAGAAGATTGTGATTGAGATTATACTGGATCCATAGATCAATTGAGAGAGAACCGTTTTATCAACAATATTGAATTTTTCACCCATGAACATGGTATCTCTCTTCAGTTACTTAAGTCTTTTAAAATTTCTGTCAGCAACATTTTGTAGGTTTCAGTGTACAGTTCTTGCACATCTTTTGTCAGATTTATTCCTAAATATTTCACTTTTTGATGCTATGATTTTTTTTAAATTTCAACTTCTGACTATTCTTTGCTAGTGAATAGAAATGCAATTGATTTTTACATATTGATTTTCTATCCTGAAATCTTCCCAAATTAACTTATTTGTCCTAATAGCCTTTGTGTGAATTCCATCAATTTTTATAATTATGTTATCTGTGAATAAAAACAGTTTTACTTCTTTTCCAATCTGGATGCTTTTCTTGCCTTATCACACTGGCTAGAATCACCAGTAAATATTAAATAGAAGTGATGAAAGCACACCTGTTTATTCCTGATCTTAGGGAGAGCATTTAGTCTCATACCATTAAGTATAGTGTTAGCCACAGGTTTCTCTTATTGGTTCCCTTTATGAAATAAAGGAAGTTTTTCTCTAGTCCTAGTTTGCTGAGACTTTTTTCAGAATAGATGCTAGATTTTTGTCAAATACTTTTTCTGAATCTACTGATATTATTATGATTTTTCTTTTTTAGTCTATCTACATGGTAAGTTACTTGGATTGATTTTTGAATGTTAGACTAACCATGCATTCCTGGGATAAACCTCATTTCATTAGGATGGTTTAATCGTTTAAATATCATTGGTTTTGAACTGAGAATTTTGCTTAGAATTTCTGCATCTTTGTTGAAGAGAGATATTGTTTTGTAGTTTTCTTAGAATATCTTTGCCAAGTTTTGGTATCACAGTAATGCTGGTCTCGTGGAATGAGTTGGGAGGTTTCCCTTTTCTTCAGTTTTCTGGATGAGTTTCTGTAGAATTGGCATGATTTCTTTTGTACATGTTTGCTGGATTCTGCAAGTGAAGCCATCTGTGGCTGGAATTTTCTTTGTGGAAGGGTTTTAAGGTACAAATTCAATAGGGATATTCAGGTTATTTCTTTTTGAATGAGCTTTGGTGTTCGTATCTCTCAAGAAATTTGTGCATTTGTTTTCACATTTGTTATTATAAAGTGTTCAAAATAGCTCCTTATTTTCCTTCTAATATGTTAGAGTCTTTAGTGACATTACCCCATTCATTCTTAATATTGGTAATGTGTGTGTCTCTCTTTTTCTCCTGTCAGTCTGGTTAGAGGTTTGTCAGTTTTGTCGGTCTTGATGTAGGGGCAGGCCTCAAAATCAGGGCTTTGCCAGTGAGGATTCGTGGCTTTTTCCAGGAAATAATTCAAGGGCAAGCTGGTGGTGTTACAGGCAATTTTTTTTGAAGTGGCAGCATACGGCAGCAGCAGACGGACTGCTCCTAGTGGAGCAGGGCTACCCCATAGGCAGTGTGCCCAGATTGTAACCACCCAAGGGACTCACCTTGCCCGCTGCCTAGACAAAGCTGATTCAAGACTGGGGAATTGCAATAGAGAAAGAGTAATTCATGCAGAGCTGGCTGTGTGGGAGACCAGAGTTTTATTATTACTCAAATCAGTCTCCCATAGCATTCTTGCATTCAGGGAGCAGAGTTTTTAGGGACAACTTGGTGGGTTGGGGGAGGCCAGTGAACCAGGAGTGCTGATTGGTCAGAGATGAAATCATAGAAAATCAAAGCTGTCTTCTTGCACCAAGTCCGTTCCTGGGTAGGGGTCACAAGATCAGATAAGCCAGTTTATCCATCTGGTGGTGCCAGCTGAGCCATCAAGTGCAGGCTCTGCAAAATATCTCAAGCACTGATCTTAGGAGCAGTTTAGGGAAGGTCAGAATCTCGTAGCCTCCAGCTGCATGACTCCTAAACCATAATTTCTAATCTTGTGGCTAATGTTAGTCCTACAAAGTCAACCTAGTTCCCTAGGCAAGAAGGCAGTCTGCTTTGGGAAAGGGCTATTATCGCCTTTGTTTTAAACTATAATAAACTAAGTTTCTCCCAAGGTTAGTTCAGCCTGCACCTAGGAATGAACAAGGACAGCTTGGAGGTTAGAAGCAAGATGGAGTCAATTAAGTGAGATCTCTTTCAGTGTCTCAGTCATAATTGTGCAAAGATGGTTTCAAGAGTAGCAGCTCAGAGGCACTTCCCCAGTCATATTTCTATCCACTTTAATCATATGCAAATGAAGGGGCAGATTATGCAGAAATTTCTAGAAATAGGGTGGTAACCTCTGGTTCACTGGGTCTTTGCCATGGAAAGGTGTAATATCTGGGTGTTGCCCTGGCCCCGTTTTAGCTAGTCCTCAATTTGGTCCAGTGTCTGAGTCCCCCACTTGGAAGTCAAGTCCCACCTTCTGAGTTGAGTCCCACTTCCTACCTCATTGTCAATAAATCAGTTTTTGGTTTTGTGGTTTTTCTCCATTGTTTTTGTTTTCTATCTCATTGATGTCCACTCTGATCTTTATTATTTTATACCTTTTGCTTACTTTGGGCTTCATTTACTCTCTTCTAGTTTCTTAACGTGGAAGCTGAGATAATTCATCTAAGACTGTTC